TCCCCATTCTCCCATGCCTTAACCACCTTTTCCCTCACCATAAAGTATTTATTCATGATGGCATTTAAAAGAAAAATCTGAGGTTCCCTACAAATCTCCAGTGGCATCACTGGTATAGGGTGACCGGGGCCTCCCCAGGTGCTGAGTTAAGGGGTGGAAAAAAACAGCTGCCACTGCAGCCGCACCATCACAACCAGAAGTCACTGCTGACTTTTTGCATGGCAGCTGCAGCAGGCATGAGGCCATGGTGTTATGCCTCTGCAAATTTTGCATCATTTTGTGATCCAATAAAGGATGTAGTATACCAAGATGATGCAGTTGTTCACACATATCATTCATATGTGAGTTTAATTTCTCTTTTTCTTAGTTATGCTACACTGTGGGTATGTCTACACGTGTGTTTTAATGCACATTAGCTTATTTTAATGTGCTTTAAAGCATCACTAAAAACATGCTATTTAGTTAGGCTAATACACATTAAGGCTAATACACATTAAGTGTCACTTAAAAACCACAGGCGTTTCTACATGTGCTCTGGATGTGAGGGTGTTTTTACATGTGCACCCTTGAGTCTGTTGGAGGGTGGCAATTCCTGTACTCTAGCAGCCTCCTGCATCTCATGTAGGAGCATCCCCGTGCTTAAAAATGGCGGTAGGGATGCTTGAACTAAAGCTTATTTTTAAGTGTGAGGACATTGATACAGGAGGCAGAGTGGAACTTTAAGTAAAGTGGCTCTCGGAGCCTCTCTAATTAAAGCGCTGCCCTCCCCACCCCCAGAGCACATGTAAAAGTGGCCAGAGGTATTAGATTTAATGCACATTAACCAAAGCACTTTAATGCATGTGTAGATGTGCCCTGTAAGTACAAAGTATGCAATTCAGAAAGAGGGAGCCATACCACATAAAAGCACTAGTCTAGAAGTGGAATTCTCTTACTCACTCCTAGACAAAGAAAACTAGATTCAGTTAGAAAATAAGAAAGCATAAAAGAACAATGCAAAGTAAGCTTTTATTTTACCTCTCATAGAAATATTATTAGGGTTCAAGATATTGCATCATAGAGAAATAGGGCTGGAACAGACCTCCAGAAGTCATCTAGTCCAACCTCCTGCCTGAGGCAGAAATTTTCCTATCCAAACCATCCTATACAAATCCATTTTCTAACCTCTTGGTAAAACTATACAGTCAGCCATGATATGACACAAAACAAGGTTTAAATTCAAATTACAATGGTTGGGTTTGAAGTGTTATTGAATGTTCCCCTGGAACTATCCTGTTCTTGTGAAACCTGGCCAACTAGAAATACTTTTGGGTGCATAACCATGTGTATACCATATAATCAATTTTGGTGAAAATGTTAAGCTAGTGCAGAGTTGATTAACCAGAGTGCTGGCACACCCTGTGTGAGGTGTGAGGTAAGAAGCAGGTAAGGCCAAGCTCAGGCCATCTCTGCCTTGCCTGCTCTTCCAACCCCAGTGCCTGGCCCTTCTACAAGGAGGTAAGCACTGTAATTAAAAAAAAACAACAACAGTTTTTAAAATGAGTTACTAATCAAGTCACAGAAGTTATGGAGGGGAGCCTTGAGTCCACTAAGGGGGGGCTTGAATCTAAAAAGGTTGAAAACCTCTTACAGGTTTGGGTCCCGGGCAGCCACAATGCCCCCTGATGGCCACACAATTCCTGCCCCAGCTTTAATCCTAGGAGCCCTCGCCTCTTTTACTTACCTTGCCATGCCTTTGGTGTTATTATGTAGAAAGGAGGGAGGCTGCCTGCAGAACCTAGAGCAAGGTTGCCATTGTTCCCGTGTTGGGTTTGGCTTTCTCGGCCTCTCTCCTTTTTTCTATTGCTGAGTCCTCTAGCTCTAGCCCGCTCACTAAACTGAGCTTCAGGGTTCCCAGCTTTCTGTCTGTTCTTCCAGTGCCTTTGTCTCTGCACTCTCTCAGGCTGCTGAACCTCCCTGGGTGCTTTCTCTCTCTCTCTCTGTTATCTCTATCCAGCATTCGCATAAGGCACACCTAATTTTGGGATAATTCAAGAACACATGTGAATTAGAGAACATTTAGAAGAGTTAATCTTTAAATAGACAAGGACATCCAGCTTAACTATGGGTGAGTTGGTGCTCCTCTATTAAAACCTGGTTTTCTTAAGAAATTAATCCCAGTTCTTTCACCTTGTTTCAATGCCAGTTAAAATTATATCTTTCATGTAATATACCTAGAGATGCATTTAGCCATGTATTGTGTCAAGAGTAACACTTAAAGTTGGGGAATATTGACTGGCAGAGTTTCAGCTAAATATAAAAAGACATGTCAACATCCACTGTTTCCATAATACTTTCATCATATTTCCTTAATGCTTAAACTTTCATAAAATATGGGAGTATTTTTAGTAACAGGTCTGTCTCTAAAAAGAGAGATTTTCCCTTTTTTTTTTTGTAAATACCCTTAAATGGATTAGTATGAGAACTTTTCATGTTCTTTTTTGATTCACAGTTCCTGAAGGAACTGAAACATCTGGTAAGTTTCTTCTCTTAGTGGCATAATATGGTTTTCTGGTATGTTCAGATGTTCACTAACAGAAACACCCAAGAAAATTTAAAGCACTATTTGAATGGGGTGGACAATTATAAACCTCTGGCCAAAATTTCCACAAAGGAAACTTATTTTGTTATGTCATATGTGGATCTCATTCTCACTCTCCAGCTGTTGGCCCAGTTCATCACCACTGCTCTGAATTACTCTATGCACAGGGCCTATAGCAGGGGCGGGCAATTATTTCAGGCGGAGGGCCACTTACTGAGTTTTGGCAAGCCGTCGAGGGCCACATGACAGGCAGCCAGGGCAGATAAATATTAATTTTCCAAATTATTTGGGGGCTCCACGGGCCGAATAGAATGGCCTGGCGGGCCGCATCTGGCCCCTAGGCTCCATTTTGCCCACCCCTGACCTATGGGAAGGAAACATTTTCCACAGGCCACAAGAGTGGAGGCATCATGCCTGACTGTGCTACATTCATCTACACACAAAGCCCAAGTGAAAACTTGAGTGTTGAAGATTAGTTAAGTGTATGCTGCTGATGAAAGAACTTCAGTAATTGGTCATTGTATCTGTTAATTGTCTGTACAATACTGTCAAAAATCTAAGGAGGATTTTGCTGACAATGGTTTATAAATTCAACAGTTGCAAAATATTAAATTTTACTCTTCTCTTCTCTTCACAGAATCTACTGGAACTGGTCATTATAATCCAGAGTAACATCATTAACTTGATTGATAACATGAATTTTGCTGAAAGTAGAGATTGAGAATACAAATCAGGTCTCATTCTAGGAGATCTTCACTCACTGCATTAGGTCCCTTATCACCACCTATTCCTCGGAATCACAACTCCCAGGAACAGAAGGCATTTAGAGATGTACGTTATCGACCAACTTAGTCAGAAATGTATAAGCTTTCTGAGCTTGGGCTCATTAATCTTCTGCATGTCTGATTTGGTTGGTTTATAAAGACCATCTCTACCCTGCCTTCTGCCTGATTTCAGACTAACATGTTGCAATGGGGTCCTGCTCTAGGGGTGGCTATGATGCCCCTGGAGCCCCCTCAGCCCTTGTGAAACTTTGCTTTCTTTGGGCAATCTCCCCTTCTACTTTCCTGCCACACCTCAGTGTAATTATCACTTTAAGAAAAGGAAGGGTGTCCCAGGGCTTCTGGCTCTATTTGTCCTTACACCAGTTCCTGCTTCAGTAAGGGATCAGAAAATATTCTCCTGGATAAGGTGCAGTGCAGAGGGAATGAATCTGGCCTATGGCAGTGTGTACATACGGGATGGTTGTGCCATGATTGGAAGCATGAGGAAGACACCACTGTCATCTGTCCTTTTACTTTCTGACTTCTTTTGCAAAGGAAACGTCTGGTAATTGCAGGTGTTTTTGCTCTGTAGATTTTGAAGATCACCAAAGGATCACTGATGCTACATGACTTGTTTAATTGATTATTAATTATTAAGTGAATATTATTCAGAGTTTCAATATTACAGAGTAAATCCTAAATTCTTCATTCCCAGGGGGAGTTGCGCCTAAGTAAAGACTTTAAGTTTTATGCAGAAGCTTACGTGGTTTTCCCTTCTTCCTTGTTTTACTTTAGAAAGGCAGTGTTTGTTTTTTAGGCCTGAATTATAGGGCCTTAATCTTCACTCATTGACCCTAGTATAGATTAGGAAATACACCAGTGAAATCAATCACAAATCAGGGCTAGGGAATTCATGTCTCCTTGTCAAGGACCCCTGGGATTTGAGGTACTGATTACTAATCTGTTCTTTGCTCATTTAGCTACTTCTACTGCTAAATGATTTATCTTTAAAACCTGATTTTTTTTTGATAAAACATTGATCGCTCCTACAGAACAAATGCCTAGGTAATAAATCTCTCCACCCTCCCATGCCAGTACAAAACTTTCAGGAATTTAAAATTTTATCCAAATCAAGATTTCACACCTGGCCTCTACATCTAAATGAAGTCTCTCATAGCTTTTTATTGGTAAAGATTATATCTAAATTCATATTAAGATACAATCTGTTTAATCTGTATAATCTGTTATAATTGATTATGCCATTGTCAAAAAGAAATAAAGGATGCTTAAATGGTGTAATATGTGTAATATGTGCTGAAGCTCACTCTCCTACACCACTTGCATTTATTGGTTATGGTATAAGGCTGCTTCTTGTTCGAATGCTGGGTTTTTGGTTGTAGCTGTATTGGGCTACATGGTCTTGGTCTTGTTTGAATGGTAACTTTTAAAAAGTGTTCAACACAATTGAGCTAATAAGATTTTATGTAACTTTTATGTAAGACTATATACTGAGATCAAAAGGATTCATTGAATGCAGGAAAAGTCTCTTTATTAAAAGTACACCATTGTTTAGGTAAATATTGGAGGAGAAAAAGAGCAGGAACTTAGCTCATGCCAATACAAGCAAGCTATATTGATAGAAAATATCACTCCATCAGGTTTGTTGGGTAACCAGATGAATTATTTCTAGTACTATGCTCTGAGCCAAGATTAATGGTATCAATCTACTTTGATATACCCAATGTTTGTACATTGAAAGAAAATGTTTTCCCAGGTGTGAGGAGAGGTGGGTGGCAGCGGGGGGGGGGGAAGGGGGAGGAGGCAAGCGGGGGCTGCCAGAGACTGTACTACTAGATGTGAGCTACTGAATAAAATGAATTTTATTTTAAAGGTAATTGCTTGGATGGATGGAGTTTGAACTCTGATACTGAAGAAGAGTAAGACTGTGTCTACACAGCTAACTCTTCATTTGGTGATTATAATCTGTGCTAGTATACCTGTATCAGCTTGGTATAGCTAGTACATATAATAATTGGAGTGAAAGCATAGGTGGGAGGGTTGTTTGTTGTAGATGAGCCTATGAATTTCACTTCATAAATCTACTGAATACAAAAAAATAATGGACTAAATACAGACATTGGATTTATGACACATTATAACCTGCCTAACATCTGATAACCCCAGGTAACCTGTCTGTATTTTACCAGCTACATTCTTCTATCACCAGTTCAACCTTCCCCCACCCCCTTCACCTGCCTGTCTCACACCTATTGTCTCCCATTCCCTCTGATTCTCACTGCCATGTCTTTACATTTTCAGAGGCCTGCATTTTGCATTTTGTCCTAGGAGAGCATACAAAACACCAGCAGACCATCCCTGTGCCTGAAGAAGGGTGTTTGTGCCCAACAGCTTGCAAAAAATAATTTTTCCAACTATTTATTTGGTCTAATAAAAGATATCACATCTCCCCAAAGAACCTTGTCAACATAGGTATGAGAACATTTTAATAATCCTACTACATAGTTGGGGTCCCTGAAAAGCCAATACTTTGGTTTCTAGCATTTGCTAAATCTTGCAATGCTGTATCTTTACTGCTATCATTACCTATGCTAGCTGCATGTATGCTGCCTCATGACACAATTACACCTCCATTTCACTGTGGCGTATACCCTGAGTCCTGGGTATGACCGACTGGAGGGCCTGGTGTCAATGTGGTGGGGCTACTCATGGTGGAGTTGCCCCTATAAAATACAACAATGTTGCAACCCCCAAAATAAGGTGAGTATATGGCACCTCAAAACCCTTGACTCCATTGTGTCGTAGGTATTTCTTGGTTGGAGTAAGGCTAAGGGACATCACCCTGACAGAAACATGCTCGCTGAGGCATTACGCAGGCAGCAGCAACTCTAATCTGTTGCTCTCTGGTAGAAGCTATAACAAATGAGGCACTAAACATCTGGACTCGGTCTGGCCTTTGGACTCAATCATCTAAGCAGGAATAGTAGATCTGGGGCATCCTCCACTCCTCCATAACCTTGCCAAGGTGTACACGTTGAAGGTCTTGGTGTGATGGTTGTAGGACTCCATAAGGAGCATAAGGAATGTGAGGCAGCTACCAAGGCATCCAAGCAGCCCTATTTAGGGTAGGCCTGCTTGCCTGTCTTGAGGGAGGCCGTGGAAAAGGTGGGCCAAAGAAGCCATGCCCCAACCTAATCTAACCTGGCCAAAATGAAATAAAGTGACTCACATGTTCAGATTCTGATCCCTGGATTCAATTCGGACTCTGATTTATAGAAAATAGCACTACTAAACAAGTTGGTAGGGCTGTGCAAAGCTTCAGTCCCTGATTCAATTCAGTGGAGATTCGGCCTGATTCAGTGGCTGAATCTCTGAATCCAAATCAAATCAGAGAACCCTTTTATCTCTCCAAATTGAATTGGAACTCTCCGAATTGATTTGGAAAGATTCGGCAATTCGGACATCGACACAGCTTTAAATGTTTTTTCTACATACCTCTACGTAGCAGTGGCTCATGAATGCTGCGATGCTGGGGTGCATGGAGTGTCCCACAGGAGCACGGGGAGCTCCCCAGTGTGCTTGGCAGCAGTCCTGGAAGTGGACCAGAAGCACTTCTGGCCTACTTTTGGATCCACTGGGGAGAATGCAGGGGGGCCCCCCCCATGCCTCCCTTGCATGGCAACTGGTGCCTCCTGGGTCTGGGGGTGGCACCCAGGTTCTCTTTGCAGCTGATTGCCGCTCCTTCAGCAGCCTCAGGGCTTTGGGGTGCTAGTGCAGAGCCCCCCCACACGGCGTGGGGCAGTAAGGGGCAGCAGGGATCACCCCTGCTGGGCAGGAATGATGAGTGCAGGGGGTTTCTCGGTTTTATTTTTCTTAAAGGGCCAGAGCTGGGGTGAACGGGGCAGCCATGGGAGGGACTGAGGGATTGAGGGGGGGTTGGGGGTCATGCAGAGCCCCCCATGCAGTGTGGGACAGTAGGAGGCAGCGGAGATTGCCCCCCCCACCTAGGAGCATGCACTGAGTCAGGGCTTTTCTTTTCAAAGTGCTGAGAGCTGGGGCAGGCGGGGCAGCTGGTTCTTCCTCCCCAGGTGCATCACCTTGCACTTGTCAGTGTTGAATCCCATCCTATTCTCATCCGCCCACCCCTGTAACCTGTCCAGGTCCGATTGCAGCCTATTCCTCCCTTCTAGTGTGCCCACATCCCCCCACATCTTAGTGTCATCAGCAAATTTGAACAGGGTGCTTTTTACCCCCTCGTCCAAGTCACTGATGTTGAACAGTGCGGACCCAAGGACCGAGCCCTGGGGGACCCCACTGCCCACATCCCTCCAAGCTGAAAATGACTCCTCCACTACCACTGTCTGTGTGCTGCCCTCCAGCCAGTTGGTGACCCATTTGACTGCGTAGGTGTCAACAGCACAGTCCCCCCAGTTTTTTAATGAGAACAGGCTGAGAGACAGTGTCAAAGACCTTCTGAAAGTCCAGAAAGACTATGTCCACTGCTACCCCTGCATCTAAGGATTTGATGACCTGGTCATAGAAGGCCACCAGGTTGGTCTGACAGGACCTGCCTCTAATGAACCTGTGTTGGTTGCCCCTAAGCATAATCTCCCCTGCTGGCCCCTC